GGATTGACTCCAATTTTGAAAGAAGCTCTACTGTCGGGAAAATGCTATCAAACAGCATCGCATGCTACAGAGAAATTGCTTGTGAAAGAGTCAAATTTCATTGGCAAATTTCATTGTTGTCTTATTCTTAAGAAATTGCCACAGCCACCTCCAACTTTAGCAATCACCACCTGGATCAATTAGCAGACATCAACATCCAGGCAAGAACTTCCACCAGCAAAATGATTATGACTTGCTGAAAGCTTAGATGATGCTTAACATTTTTTAGCAATAAAGTATTTTTAAATTAAGGTATGTACATTTTTTTAGACAATGCTATTGCACACTTAATAGACTATAGTGACTATAGTATAGTATAAACTTATATATACTGGGAAACCAAAAAAGTCATTTGGCTCACTTACTGCATTGATTTGCTTTGTTACAGTGGTCTGGAACCAAACCTGCAATATTGCCAAGGTGTGTCTGTGTATTAAAAACTAATGAAAATAGTTATCTATGAAGGTCAGTAGAGGTACATCCTTTTGATGTACTTCTGACTTTTGAATCACATAAATGTTTTAAATATTCAAAAAATAAAATAGTATATGAAAACTACAGGTTTTATTTAACTTAAAACATAAATGTATATTAACTTGCCACATTTTGAGCTAAGGTCAAGGCCTTTTGTTTTGAGTCTAAGTCTACTGATTAGAATTTATCACTGCTTTCTTATGTAGACCACATCCACAATACACTGAAATTCAATTTCTGTTTTGGCCAAGCGTAGTTAGATATTAAAGAGAAATGCAAGGGGCGCCTGGGTGGCGCAGTCGGTTAAGCGTCCGACTTCAGCCAGGTCACGATCTCGCGGTCCGTGAGTTCGAGCCCCGCGTCGGGCTCTGGGCTGATGGCTCAGAGCCTGGAGCCTGTTTCCGATTCTGTGTCTCCCTCTCTCTCTACCCCTCCCCCGTTCATGCTCCGTCTCTCTCTGTCCCAAAAATAAAATAAAAACGTGGAAAAAAAATTAAAAAAAAAAAAAAAAGAGAAATGCAAAATAATCTGTGAGCAGTATCCTTCTAGTTCTTTCCCATATTGACTTTTATAACTTTTTTACAGTTTTTACAGTTGTCTCACATATTTCATTAGCAATTATTTTAATGACTTATATTCAATCTGATTTTCATGGAAGTAAACTGGCAGTCTGACCCTAGAACTGATAATCTTATCCACTGTATGATAAATGAGACAGTTTTAAGGCCGTGGCAGGTAACTTATAACACTGGCTTTGAGATTCTTCCTAGCCACATTCTCAGGCACAGAACTTTGAGCATATTATCACCCATGTATTACAATTGTTCACTAAAAGAAGAAAAAATGGCCTTGTTTTGGCATTTCCCCTCTGTTCACCTCAACACTGTTTTTTATTTAAATGCATTTCCTGATAAGCCTTCCTAATTCTATTTAACTTTGTTTTTACGATTTATTTTATTTTTTTAAAGTATTCTCTAGGCCCAACGTAGGGCTTGAACTCACAATCCCAAGATAAAGAGTTGCATGCTCTATCAAATGAGCTGGCTAGGCACCCCACCCCTCCTAATTCTCTGAGAATTTCATTTTATGCTCCCACCACTCACTTGCTTATCGAAATATATGTATCTGCCCCTTTCCCCCAAGCTTTATCAAAGTATAATTGACAAATGAAATTGGATATATTGAAGATGTATAATATGATGATTTGATACATGTGTCCCTGTGTAATGAATATGACAATCAAGTTAATTAACACATCCATCACCTGACACAGTTACCACTTTGTGTGTGTTTGTGGTAAGAACAGATTTACTCTCTAAACAAATTCCAAGTATACAATACAGTGTTATTAGTTATAATTACCATTTTTTACATTAGATTCCTACAACTTATCCATATTATAAGTGAAAGTTTGTACTCTTTGACCAACATCTACCTATGTTCCCCATGCCCTGGCACCAGGCAACTGCCATTTAACAATATTTCTGAGTTCAACTTTTTCAAATTCCACATGTGAGTGATATCATATTATATGTGCCTTCCTCTCTCTGGCTTACTGCACTGAATATGATACCCTCCCAGGATAATCCATGTTGTCACAAATGGCAAAATTTCCTTCTTTTTGATAGCTGAATGATGTTCCATTGTATATAGTTATAACATCCTATTCTAAGCTGATAACAACTTAACTTTGATTACATACACAAACTCCAAAATTTTACTTCTCTATCCCCTTATGTTTTAGGTCATTGATGTTACCATTTACATCTTTTATTTTGTGTATCCATTAACTCATTATTTTATGTTTTTTTTAATATAGTAGACACATTACATTAGTTTCAGGTATACAACTTAGTGATTTAACAAGTTTATACATTATGCTATGTTCACCACAAGTATAGTTAACATGTCTTATTATAACACTATTACAATATCATTGACTGTATTCCTTATGCTCTACATTTTATTCCTGTGACTTAATCAGTCCACAACTGGAGGCCTGTGTCTTCTTCTCCTCTTCTCCCAATTTGCTCATCTCCCTACCCTACCCCCTCAGTTTGCTTTCTTTAATTAGGATCTATTTCTGCTTTTTGTTTGCTTATTCTTTTTTTGTTCCATTTATGAGTGGCATCATATGATACTTGTCTTTCTCATTCTGACATATCACTTAGCATAATATCTTTGAGTTCACAGATTTTTTCTTTTCCTTGACTGAGTCCACTTTTGAAGCTACTAAATTTTTCACATCACCCACTGTATTCTTCAGCTCTAGGATTCATGTTTGGTTTTACTTTTTGATGGTTTCTATTTCTTTGTTGAATTTCTCATTCTGCTCATGTGCTGTTTCCTAATTTTGTTTGGTTGACTATCTGTGTTTTATTGTAGTTCACTGAAATTCATTAAGAGGATTATTCTGAATTCTTGGTCAGTCAGTTCACAGATCTCCATTTGTTTAGGTTTGGTTATTGGAGCTTTACTAGTTTCTTTGGTGGTGCCATATTTCCTTGATTCTTCATTATTCTTGTATCCTTGTGTTGGTATGTGTGCATTTGAGGAAGCAGTCACTTCTTCTAGTCTTTACAGGTTTGCTTCAATAGGGAAAGATTTTCACTAGTCAGCCCAAACTAGGTTCTCAAAGGCCAGCTGGTAGAGCCCACAGGAGGGTGGGCAAGGTTTGATGCCAGAGTTTCTGGTTGGGTGGGGCCACTGGCTCAGCCCTGCATTCAGGCAAGACCACTCCCTGGGCTGCCTGATCAGGTGGGACTGTTAGCTGGGCTCTGCAGACAGGCATGGCCACTGGCTGGGCTCTCTGGCCAGACGGGACCAGAGACTAGACTCCTTGGATAGGTGGTGCCATTAACTGAACTTTGTGTTCAGGTGTGGCCAGAGGTTGTGCTCCATAGTTGGATGGGGCTGCAGGATGGACCCTGTGATCATGCAGGACTTCTGGCTGTGTTCTACAGTTCAGAGTCCCTGCTCCAGCAGGGCCACAAGATGAGCTCTGCAGTTGGGTAGGGGTGTCGGACTGGTTACCTGCAAGGGCAGAGGTACAGGCTGGGCTCTGCAGTCAGGCCATTGCCTGGGAATCCTAGCTGGGCTTAACTGTTCACCCTGCTTTCTGGTCAAACAGGCAGCAATCTGGCACAAGTGGGTGGAGCCATTTGCTGGGCTCTCTGATTGGGCAAGGTGGCCAGGAGGGATGCAGTGCCATCACTAATCCACACACAAATCCCTGTGAGCCCTACCTCCCATATTGTTCCTCAGGTAATCTAGCCTTGCCTATTTCCCTAGTGTTCCCCATAAGGTAAGACAGAAGTGGACTTCCCAGGCAACACTCCAGAATGCTGAGGAAGCTGGATGTCAACCCCAAGCTCTCTTTTTCTCACTGGAGAAACTGTAGGCCCAGAGATTTCCTCCCAGTGTGGTACAGTGCTGGATTAGGGAGGGGCAACACTGTCAAAGTGAAACCACTGCTCTTAGCCTTCTAATGTGGCTTTTCTCAGTTTTTGTGCTCCATGAATGTGTTTCAGCCTAACTGCCAGGTTCTGGGATTTTTAGAAAGGTGTTTTCGTCTGTAAATAGTTACTAATTCATATTTCTGTTATGGAGACTAGAACCAGGGGCCTCTTATTCCGCCATCTTGCTTATGTCAGTTCCTATGACTGCTCTTAATTGACAAAATATTTTTAGCCAGGTTCTTTCCAGAGAATACAATCTCAAACCCTATTTTATTCAATTTTTATCAAAATCTTTGTTATAAGAAATAGTTATAAAAGACTATCTAATATATACAAGCCTTTAAAATTCCTTATTGCATTTATTATAGAGATTTTCTCAAGAATATAAGACCCTGAGTGTCTTTTTAGGACTAAATTTCTCTTATGCAATAAAAAGCAACATTTTTCCTAATTATTTTTTTAAAGATTTTACTTTTTTAAGTAATCTTTACACCCAACATGGGTCTCGAACTTACAACCCAGAGATCAAAAGTCACATGCTTTACTGACTGAGACAGCCAGGTACCCCTTTTCCTCATTTTTTTGGTTTTGTTTATCTTATCAATATTGAGACTAATCAAGCTTTCCTGTTTGCTGTAGTTGCTAGAAAACTCAGAACCAAAGTTGGCTACAAGAACTGTACATGACTTAAAGGCATGCATGTTTATGTACAAACCTTTGAATTTTATATGATGATCTTATTTTCAATTTCCTGATATTTCATTATACTTTACTATTCTTTTATATATTGTAAAATATGTTTTTTATAAAACACCTCAAATGCTTTTTTGAAAGGTTAGAGAAAAAAGTAGACAAATAAATTAAAATGTCACTATAACATTTAGCTTATTACTTTAAAACAACTCTCTTCTTACCTGTACTCTATTTCCACCACTGCTACCCTAAAGAAGACAAACAAGATGTTCCCAAGATGTTCAGGATTCTATATAAGTATTTTCTCCCCATTTTCACAAACTTAATAGAACTTACCAGATAAACAATATGCAAATCATTCTCTAAAACAAAGCCCTTCATTGCTCTTTGGAGGTCAGCAAAAATATCTAAAGTATCAGTTGGAGAAAGTGAAGAAGACAGAGTTGCTGAACCAAGATGTGTTGGATGATACACTTTTCCTGGTTGGGGGCAGGAGAAGGGAAATAAAGTATCAAATGTTAAAGATTAAATAAAACACTGTCTTTCTGTACTCTATAATTTACGTTTTAGCCTCTGATAAATTTTACAAACAGACTTTTGCCCAATGTATGCATATTTATGAGCAGATTCTATGCTAAATGCCTGATGTTGCTAAATCCAACACTAAGTACTAAAAATGAGTTTATATAGCACTCGAAAAACCGGTTTCCTTTTATAGTGTTTGAAAAGTCAATTTCCTTTTACTAAGCACTATAAAGTCAGCAAAGATGAAAAAGTGTATACTGTAATTAAGTCACACTTACCTTCTGTTCCATCACTAGCTTCAGTAATCTGGATGAATTCGTTTTCTAGCAGCCACATTACACAGGCTTCAATTGCTCCAAGTTGAACAGAATCTTGATTCTTCTGAATTCCCAGCTTCCCTTCTCTCATACTCGCAGCCAAAAATGTGCAAGAAGCATAAGTCTGCATATCTTGTGATGTACTTGCCATTCCACCAACTATTATCTGATATAAGAGGTTTGAAATTTTCTGTAACTTTTTAATAAGACATGCAGGCCCTTATGATATAAAAGAAATGAAGTGATTTTGTTCTCTTAAAATATTCTCAGCATCTTAACGTAGAGACTTTTTATTAATTCTTCCATTATCACTTGTTATACATGTAGATAACACCTAATGACAACATCAAAAGTTTCCTTAAAAGTAGATACATTTTCTCATAAATGAAAATAAATGAATCACTATCTATCTGAAATGTAGGAACTAACAACATAGCCTTCCTTCTGAAACATGTGGGCATATAGGAATGCTAGTATTGAATATTCCCCACCCAGAAGGGGGATGGGAATGGGTGTAGAAAAAGTGAAGTGAGTTGTGTTTTGTGGACATCATCTTCCTACAACTATATTAAATATACTAATTAAGTGTACTAATTTTCCCTTTGACTTCTTCCATTTAATACAGATTGAAAACATACTAAATCAACCTAAACAGAGTTTACTCCTTTTAATGACCCCAATGCATAGTTTTACCAAGATTTATTTAGTATTTGTGGTATTTTGGTTGTTTCCAGTTTTTTCTTATTGCCAATAGTGCCATAATAACCATTCTTGTACATTTAATTTTATGCAATTTCACAAATACATCCCTAAGTAAAACTCTTAGTTGTGAATCTACTGGCAAATGGCTATGTGTTCTGTTTTGGCATTGTTGTTGTTTTTATCTTAGTGGATATGTCCAAGTTGCCCTCCCAAAAGAGTTTCAGCAGTATATGAGAATGCCTACTTTCTATATCCTTACCAACCCTATGTTATCAGTTACTTTCCTTTTTTTGTGTGTTTTCGTTTTTGTTTTTGTTTTCTTTTTTTTTTTTTAATTTTTTTTTTTTCAACGTTTATTTATTTTTGGGACAGAGAGAGACAGAGCATGAACGGGGGAGGGGCAGAGAGAGAGGGAGACACAGAATCGGAAACAGGCTCCAGGCTCTGAGCCATCAGCCCAGAGCCCGACGCGGGGCTCGAACTCACGGACCACGAGATCGTGACCTGGCTGAAGTCGGACGCTCAACCGACTGCGCCACCCAGGCGCCCCTCGTTTTTGTTTTCAAATGGAGAGCGAAAGGGGAGGAAAAAAAGTATGAGCACAGGTACCAGAACCCCTAGCACCAGTACTGAAGCCAAGAGCAAGGCATGCTGGTATATGAACAGAAAAATTTCTGGATGAATACACAAAACACTTAAAAGGAGATTCGTTACCTTTGAGGACCCAGAATAGAAAGTTTTATTTTTCACTTTAGATCTTTCCATGTTGTTTGAAACTTCTAATCATGTCTATTTGTAATTTGATTTTATTTTAATGTCAATAGGTATTATCTGTATGTAAGAACTATGGTCCATTTTTGTCACCTTTTTTAAAAATTCAAAAAATAATAAAGTATACCTAAAAAAGGAAAAGAATCATCTGGCATTTGGGTTTTAATCCACTGTTCTGAAATACGCTGACATAGCACTAGCTGTATTAAACTCCAGGAAATAACTATATAAAATAGAAGACATTCAGACTTGGGAACACTATAAACAATCTCACAATGAAACACAAAGCTAAGATTTTTCTTCACATCATTAAGTATTCATATTATAGGCTTCAAAGAGCAAATAATTTAGTGAACTCTTCCTTACCTCCAGAATAGCTCTTATCATGCTTGCAGTTACTTCTTCTCCTTCTCGTCTTTGCAAACAGCTACGAACAGGTTTTAGAGATCCCTGAAGTAGAGCTATGCCTTTTGATTTCTCAGAGTTCTTACAAACTAAGATACTCTCGCCTATAACCAAAAAAATGCACATTTGCAAAACCCCAACATATTTCCATAAGATACCTGCCAAAGAGAATTTAAGTTGTCTTACTTATTTAAAAAGAAGGTAATAGATGATAGTGGTTATTATGATCATAAAATTATTGCTGATGCTTTCATTTTCTGAATTTTGGATTGAAGGGGATCAGAATATGCCATACCAAAACATGCCACTTCGGCATAAGGATTATTTTGACCTGAAGGCACTTAGGAAGTAGCAAACACAGTAAGAGCTCCTGGCCCTCACCCTGTTTGCCTAGATGTTAAGACATAAATTTCTCTTTGTGAAGGTGTTCCACTTATCACTTATCACTGGATGCAGAAAGGCAGCACCAGATGGGCCTGCATAAACCTTACTAAATAATCCTTAACTTCTGTTAGTTTCCAGTATATATTTACTTTCCCACAATTTACTACTTCTAGAAACTCAAACCCCTTTTCCTTGGTCTTGTCACTTCACAATTCTATTACCTTTTGTTAAAAGGGTATAAAGCCCCTAACATCTAACTGCTTCTTTAGGTCTTTACTGGTTCTCTATGAAGTCCTCTGTGTATGCAAAAAATTAAAATATTAATACCAAATAAAATATGTATGCCTTTTCTCCTGTTAATCTGCCATCTGTCAGTCTAATTTGCAGGCACTAGCCATAGAAGCTAAGCAGGCACAGGAAAAGTTTCTTTCCTTCCACATAGGAGCAACTGTTTTTACTGAATAATTAAGTATATAATAATAATAATAGAGGTATTTTGAAAATCATAAAGGAAAATGCAAATGCAAATTATTACCGGTTACGTATGAAAACACAAATTCAAAAATATTTACAGAAACCTAGAAATTACATTATAACTCACTAATCAAAAGCTTTAGGTTACTGTGACAATCAAATGAATAAAAATGTGATAGCACTTATACATTATAAACATATATAAAGGTACAATTTATACAAACATAAACCATTATTATGGTAATTAAGACTAGAAAAAAAGATAATTTTTTTTTCAAAAATGAATCCAATAGTAGGGGAAAGGAAGCAAGTAGATGTGTAAGGGGGAAAATGAAGGCAACTTGCATTAGAGAAAACTAAAAATGGCATTGTGGTGGAGTATATTAATCATTCTAGGGAGAGAGAAGACTTTCCTAAAGCTGATTGCTAAACTGAGAACCAAGATAAGATAAAGATAAAGGACTATAAACTTGATGACTGTTGTTGTTTATCCTAGATATAATTACAAAAAGATAGATGCCATCAAACAAAACAATAGCAGCAACAAAAACAGCTGGATAAAATGCATCACCTGGCTCTTATAAACACTACAAAATAGCCCAACTTAAGATAAAAAATTATCTACAAAATGGATCAACTAGCATTAGTGGCAAATACAAAAAGCCACTTTGGGCTATTCAAACTACTTTCAGCTTTTAATTCTTCAGCAAGATGGACAACCCTTTTTCAAAGTGAGCAAGATTTATGAAAATTAATGCCAATATATACAGTCCAGGTCCCTGCTCCCATCTGTCTGAAGAGGTTGTATCCATACCACAATAGACAAGTCAATTAGAATCAAATCAATTATTACTATTTGACTTGTAAATCACTATTTTTGCACAAAGTACCAACCTCTTATACTGGAAGGTTCCAAGAAATCCACAGAAAGATTAAAATGTTATCTAAATAAAACACCATTAACTGTCTAGGAACATTAACATAATTTATAAAATGTAAAGAAGTTATAAAGATGCTACATAATCTAAAAAGCATGACCAAGTATGCATATCTTCATAATTGATATGAAACACTATATTCACACATTCTCCACTTGCTGGAAGTTCTGAGCAAGCATATGTCATCCTGAAATGGAGCATTATGCAAAGTCAAAACTTCAGAAGTTTCCAAGACCTCAAAAACAAAGTTACTGTGGTATATTTTAGTTTTGTTTAAATGTTAATCTGATTTAAGGCTTGATAATTTGGTCAGGGTACCAACTTTCCAATTATTCTTCCCTATAAGAAAGAGAAGTATAAGCTAAGAATATAGCAGGGCAAATAAAATCTCCTTATCTTCTATATCACCTTAAAGACCCTCTGACCCTAAAAGAAGAGTAGCTGTGTAAAATGAACTTAGACTCCACCCTCCAGAGTTTGAGCCTACTAAGAAATTAGAGTTGGAAGGAAGGGCAGAGGGAAGAGCAAATAGGAATAGGAAGGGAGTGTTTTTGTCTCTTCCCCCAACCTTTTCTAAACACGTGTAATCTGCACATTTTATAGGTAAAGTAAGAGACAGAGCAGGATAAACTTCTTTGATGCCTATAATAGGGGAAATCCAAGGAGTTGGACGTTTTTTTTAATCATTAGAATTTTTAGGGCTTAAAAGAGAGGCAGGCCAATGGCCCTTCAGGGATTACAGACAGAGAAGTCATTTGTTACTGGGGCTGAGACACATAGCCATTCTCTCATTTTTCCTTTAATAAAACTCCTACATGTTGGATGAGCACATGGCCACACAGCTAAAGGTTGTATTTCCCAGCCTCTCTTGCAGTTGGGAAATGTAACCATGTGACTAAGTTCTGGCCGACTGGATGTGAGGAGAAATACTTAGTGCAACTTCTGAGAAGTGCCCTTAAGGGACAAGTTGTGTCCTTTATTTCCTCATCGCCCCTTCCTGATGGTTGAAATGCAGATGTGATGACAGACAAATCAAGTTATTCTAATAGTCACTTCCTTGGTATACTACCCAGTTTTTTGCACCCAGACTATCCCACTTATTTTCCCATTAAGACTTTCCCTTTTCTGCTGGATATCCTAATGTTCTTCAGCAACCATAGAACTATTTTTTTACATACAGTATAATATTAGTCAATAAAATACATCCTAGAGAAGAAAGATGAGATGACAGAGAACTTCCTCCCAAAGCTCTTTAATGTTGTAAGACTTATAACAATTTTGTCACACCCATAATTATCTACCAGGTTAGTAATAACATTTGCTGCTACCTCAATATTTAATTCAAACAAGACTCTTCCTCATTGCTTAAGACAAAACTTCTGCTTGGTTTCTGTTAATGTTACCATTACTTGCTGACAGAAGAAACTAAAAAGGTGTTTTCAGAACCAGCACCATTTTAGAGAGAAAATAATGCTATATGAAATTCCTATTCCTAAATGTAAGAGTAGGGACGCCTGGGTGGCGCAGTCGGTTAAGCGTCCGACTTCAGCCAGGTCACGATCTCGCGGTCCCTGAGTTCAAGCCCCGCGTCAGGCTCCGGGCTGATGGCTCGGAGCCTGGAGCCTGTTTCCGATTCTGTGTCTCCCTCTCTCTCTGCCCCTCCCCCGTTCATGCTCTGTCTCTCTCTGTCCCAAAAATAAATAAACGTTGAAAAAATAAATAAATAAATAAATAAATGTAAGAGTACTTTCCAGCTCTCAGTATCCCTCCTTTGAAGTCTTAGGTCAGTCACCTAAGCAGAACTAAAACCCCATGAAAATTACTCCCTTCATTAGCACTAAATAGATTATACTGGAAATTAAAAATCATCTTCTAGCTAATATGATAAATCATTTTGATTAGAATAATACTGAATATTTTCACTGTATATAAAAGAAAATCTTATTTTACATTAAGAGAAAATCAATGGCTAATGATATATGAAAATTATAATTTACACTCATTATAAATATTAAGTAAACCAAAAACATGACATTAGTGCTTTGGATAACAAAGAAATACAGCATGATGAGAAATCAATTGGCAGGCATCAGTCAGATTTCAAGTAGACTGACACTGTCCTTCACCAATGCTATTACAATTAAAATCAAACTCACTTACCTACTGTGTCTACCCCTTTCCTGCCAGCACGACCAACCATCTGCTTATAAGTAAGAACATCTAGAGGTCGACCACTGAAAATCGGAGTCCGAATAATTACACGACGTGCTGGTAAATTCACCCCAGATGAAAGAGTAGAAGTTGCTGCCAAAACCCGAATCTGACCTTGACGGAAGGCTCCCTCAATGATATCCCTCTCCTCAAAAGTAAGACCTAACAAAAGGAAGTTACAATAACATATATTGATGAATATAAGAAATAATGAATATAATGAAAATACTGTACTTGATTACTTACAAATGGATCTGGGAATCTACTAGAAACTTCTAAAGATTTTTACAAGCTATTGTTACGACCATAAACAACATCTTTATGTCACCACGGTCTATCTTTTAGAGTATAATCTGCCTCCCCTAGTATATTTTTTTTTAATATGAAATTTATTGTTAAATTGGTTTCCATACAACACCCAGTGCTCATCCCAAAAGGTGCCCTCCTCAATACACATCTCCCACCCCTCATTAACCCTCAGTTTGTCCTCAGTTTTTAAGAGTCTCTTATGCTTTGGCTCTCTCCTTCTCTAACCTCTTTTTTTTTTCCTTCCCCTCCTCCATGGTCTTCTGTTAAGTTTCTCAGGATCCACATGAAAGTGAAAACATATGATATCTGTCTTTCTCTGTATGGCTTATTTCCCTTAGCATCACACTCTCCAGTTCCATCCACGTTGCTACAAAAGGCCATATTTCATTCTTTCTCATTGCCACATAGAATTCCATTGTGTATATAAACCACAATTTCTTTATTCATTCATCAGTTGATGGACATTTAGGCTCTTTCCATAATTTGGCTATTGTTGAAAGTGCTGCTATAAACATTGGGGTACAAGTGCCCTGATGCATCAGCACTCCTGTATCCCTTGGGTAAATTGCTAGCAGTGCTATTGCTGGGTCATAGGGTAGGTCTATTTTTAATTTTCTGAGGAACCTCCACACTGCTTTCCAGAGTGGCTGCACCAGTTTGCATTCCCACCAACAGTGCAAGAGGGTTCCCGTTTCTCCACATCCTCGCCAGCATCTATAGTCTCCTGATTTGTTCACTTTAGCCACTCTGACTGGCGTGAGGTGGTATCTGAGTGTGGTTTTGATTTGTATCTCCCTGATGAGGAGCGAAATTGAGCATCTTTTCATGTGCCTGTTGGCCATCTGGATGTCTTCTTTAGAGAAGTGTCAGTTCATGTTTTCTGCCCATTTCTTCACCAGATTATTTGTTTTTCGGGTGTGGAGGTTGGTGAGTTCTTTATAGATTTTGGATACTAGCCCTTTGTCTGATATGTCATTTACAAATATCTTTTCCCATTCTGTTGGTTGCATTTTAGTTTTGTTGATTGTTTCCTTTGCAGTGCAGAAGTTATCTTCATGAGGTCCCAATAGTTCATTTTTGCTTTTAATTCCCTTGCCTTTGGGGATGTGTCAAGCAAGAAATTGCTGCGGCTGAGGTCAGAGAGGTTTTTTCCTGCTTTCTCCTCTAGGGTTTTGATGGTTTCCTGTCCCACATTCAGGTCCTTTATCCATTTTGAGTTTATTTTTGTGAATGGTGTGAGAAAGTGGTCTAGTTTCAACCTTCTGCATGTTGCTGTCCAGTTCTCCCAGCACCATTTGTTAAAGAGACTGTCTTTTTTCCATTGGATGTTCTTTCCTG